CTGATGGATGGCACATTCCAAGTGGAGTAAGTTGTGCCTCTTAGCTCAATCTCACCTGTGGTAAGTTTTACTAATTATCAATATATTGATTTCCAGTCAATCATTTCCATGTCAGCGAACATGCAAAACTTCCATCCTGAAATCTGGTATGAACCAAACAAATTTATTCCGGAAAGATGGTTAGAGGAGGATGGCACACCCCGTCGGGATATGGACAGGAATTTGTGCTCCTTCTCAAAGGGCAATCGAATGTGCTTAGGCTCCAAGTAAGTCTTCTCCCTTATTTGACTACCTGTCATGCATTTTCTAATTGGAATGCTTCTTAGCCTTGCCACCGCTGAGCTCTATATTACTTTGGCCACACTCTTTCGGCGATTTAACCTGGAAGTTGTCAAAGAGGACACTGATATGCGGTGGGCTGATAGGGTCGCGGCCCAATCTGTAGGGGAATTGGTATTGCTAGTGAGGGAGGAGAGCTAGGACTCATTACGAAGCCGCAAAAAGCTTGGCCTAGGCTGCATCAATTAATGAGTAGACATATTGACGTTGGATTAGTCAGCCTTGGCACTCCGTGCATAGGCCAATAATCATATGTAACGTTTCGATTCTTGCTGCACGAAGTTGATGTCACATTTATCGGTTACCAATAAGCATTGGTAGTATGTGAGAGCCCATTTGACTGAGTATAGTTCTAGGCTGTAGTTAGGATCAACACGAGGCTGTTTTCTGCCTTTATTTTTTTCAAAATAAAAGGAAGGAGCTCACTGATTTTGAAAATATTTTATATTTTCAAAGTTGAACTTTATGCTAAATTTTATACCTAAACTGCCAATAAAGAGCAATTGGCATATGCCCTAATTTTACAAATTCAAGTATAAGTATCCAAAGCTAAATAAAATTCAGTTTTAAATAATGACAATGATACGTTCTCTAGAGGGATTAAGTTGGGTACATTGCCAGTCAAATTTGTATGGGCAAGGTACTTAGCAACCCAATTTGAAAATTTTCAGAATAAAAATGGCTTCGTACTATATATGCTAGTATGTGCTCTTGTTGCCCAGGTATAGATATATTATTGAGGCCACTCAATTACACCTACTTACTCAGAAAGCCAAAATGTCGAATCATTTATCGTGGGACCGATTATAACATCAAGATGTAACTAAACGATTATGACATAAATCTTCTCAATTGCATTTTTACACAATGCCTGACCCTGGCCGAATAAGTTTCCATCCATGGACGGGGCGGGACTGCCCATATACGCTACATCAAAGCATGCTATTATACTTCTTAGCCTGGTTATATACCTTTTGCCATGCAGATGTCTTAGTATAGAGCAGACAGCTGTGGTCAGTCCGCGCACTTTACATGTTTCAATCCAGTTCTTCACCTATACGAGTCTATTGGCGTAGAGCTTCTATGTAGGGTTATATATTTAGCCGAGACCATGATAATTAATCAAAGACAGAATTCGCTTGAGGTTGGAATCGAGCCGTGCACAGCTCCTTTTTGATAATCTTTGCCATACTTACCCAAAGTCCCCCAGATCATATTCTCGTCCTTCTGCATTGGAAGTAAAAGAAGAGTCTGAGCTGTAAGAACACTACCTACCGTATATAATAGCCACTATCTTAGCTACTCCTTATATCTGCGCTCAGGTCAAGTATCAAACTCTTCCATAGCATTTATAGGATACCTTTTTCACCCTTTGCCGTCAAGATGTCAAACGTTGGCTATGAGTCCATCGAACACCCAATTGAGACAGCTCAGACCATATTAGCAAAATGGGGACTGGCCCACGTGCACGAATCAAGCAGCGCGGTAAGCCTTTCAGTGAAGGGCCGGCGAGATAGCTGCCCATGTTGCTAGGGTACCACCGTCAGCCGTAGGGAAGGATAAAGAACCTTACTTCACAAATAATGAGGGAATCCCTTAGCCGGACCCAACCTATTCCCTGAAAGTGGGAGGTACAGTACATATCCCCGTTGTAAGTGATGAGTTTTTGCTCTAAAGAAACAGACATTCAGCAGGCATAACATTTGAAGCGTAAGTTTTGCCGGCTGCATGTTACACTGGTGGGGGCGCTGATGCTTGAGATTGCTTCTTAAGTATGGTCCATCCATCGGGAAGTGGAGCATTTGAGAATGCCCAGGGTGACCCCAGGGGCTCCCTACCCAGTTGAAGGAAAATAGATGTATCTGATTCAATCCGGGACACTATTCAGGCCAACCTTTTGAATCTAAACTGTTGGATACACCTGTTGCCGCGCATTTCTCGAATGTCACCTTTGCTAAAGTATTCCCAGGTGAGAGTCATACCTCGCCTTAAACTTCGAAGAACGATATCATATGGCATAGTCTAGTTCACTACCAGCAACGCAACCAAAATAATTTCTTTTACATTACGACTGGCTAGCAAAAGTAATCACGAGGGATTAATATTCTGGAATCTGGAGATTTACCTTGGTTTTGGCTGCCACACCCTCAGAATGATTTGTCGAAAGTACATCCACGTGGGATGAAACTAATGCGGTACGCCATGGCCAACAATTATTACATTTTCAGGACCCTTACAGTACTATTGAGCGAGAACTTCTAAAATTCAACTGATGCAACCGGAAAAAGCTGGTCCTGTAGGGTTAGTTTGACATCGACTCCCAATTCCCAATGTACGAGTTCGGCAAGCTAGTCATCAATAAATTATCACCGTAATATTGCCTTCTCACTAGATCCCAGATATTCTACATGTTATATGTACCATAGGCGTGGTTTCAACCTGTAGTCTGGTTGGCACAAGCCTCTCATAGTCAACCCGCACCAGATAATTGTCCCTTTATGGCCAAGTGTTAAGAAGCTGGCAGCCCTAACTTGCGTTCTAACTTTGATGAATAGCCCTAACTTTGACGATCCCGGATCAACACCGGATCCTTCCCATACCGACCTGACTGTGCAGAGGTTCAATCCCTGTTTCAGATAATGTCCTATCAATGAGGGAAAAATTAACAAAGTAACGATCAAGCGTGCGAACTCTACACTCACGTGATGGGAACGCCCAGAAGCTGGCACAGGAAGCTGGGAAGTGAAGGACTTCGCACTAGATTCAGGCAAATATCCTCCCTTATGCAATCGATAAATTTAAGCCTATCATGAGGCCCCAATGATCCCCTCCAAACGGACAGTCCCTATGCCTTCAGCACAACCTAACCTCTTGAACCTAGGAGGAAAATGAGCAGAATGAAAAGATTATTCTCTCCGCTCCATAATCTTCTCGGCTCCTTGCTGAGTCACAAGTTCAGATCAGAACAGAAGTTTCTGTGATCTACCACTACGGTTGTAGCCAGCTGCTCCACCTTAATCGATAGATTTAGAAGTAGATTTAAAATAGAAGAAATGTAACATCACTAAGTGGGAATATTATATACCACCTTTTGCCAAAATCTGTCTTTTTCAACTATTAAACCTCACCACTTTCCTAGATATATGTTTTTAAAATTATCAAAATTAGAACTATATAGCTTATAATTCATTCAGCTTTACTTGGGCAGTGCACAAATGTTGCAGAACTCTCAAGAGGGCAAGATACAATACATTGTCATACAAATTTATATGGGAAGATCATGGCTAATCCTTCATTCATATTCCCAACCACCTGTTTAATCCAAAGATTGAGCTCAGTATATCAAAGGAGTTAGTAATTCTGGAAAGAATTCCAAAGGCAGAGCTTCTGCCTTGCTAGCTTCGGGTGTTTTGAGAGGGGTGAAATCTGCCTCGGTCGCTGGCTTCTGGCATATTATGACTAATTTTACTCTTATGCGTGTGGGGACTTAACTAGTCCAGATTTGTATTTGGTCACAAACCGCCAAATTTAGTCCAGACTACGCCTAATTCTCTCTACGAGAGGCGGTGGCCGCCAGACTACGCCTAATTAAGCGCCCAAAGTCACGATGACGTCGATTAAGTAGAAGTCTTCCACCCAAAGATCAAAAATTTGGAATTTCATTGGCAGTACATAACTCCTCATCTAAATTCCACTTCAGTTCGCATTTTTGTTGAAAACTAATCTGGAAAGACGCATCAATTAATCCCACCACCGGGGCAATTCCATCACCAGAGGTCTCCCACCCCAGATTCTTCACGAAGCCGATCTCAAAGCAGAAGCCGAACTAGAAACATGTCTTCCGACCAGAACCGTGCGAATTCTGCCGTCTCCCGTGGGGGTACGGGGGCAGTTCCTACACCGGCCAATGCTACATTGAATCCACATGAAGGGAGGGCCGATTATGGATCAGGAAGGATTGACAGACCAAATGTTGCGCATGGGACAGACACGGAGGGAATCGTTCGTATTCTTCTGACTATGTGAACTCTGCATGAATCTTGTCTTATATTCCTCTTCTCTTCAGATGAACAAAATCACACGCACATCCAACACCGGTATCGGTAAAGATTCCGCTTCTAAAGGCACCAACATTGGGGAACGCCTCGGATTCGACAGTAACGGCCCCAGTGCAATTAGGAAAGCCTCCGAAACTGCGAGCAAGATCACTACGGAAGAAGGTAAGGGGATGTTTGCGAAGGCGCAACAGCAGTTGGGAACTCAACAAAATGTTCCGAGAAGTCAGAGGCGTAGGAGGTCGAGTCTCATGTCGAGACAGGAAATTACGACTGACTTTTTAGCAAATTATTCGTATGAAATGAGAACGGAAATTGGTGAGCCTGAGAGTTTGGACTTTGCATTTGATCCGGAGAGGAAACGTCTGGATCCCGCGCTTGCCCCACTTGAAGCTCCAAAGCATTAATGTGGGTGATTACAGAGAAGCGTTTTCTCAATTGGGGTTTTTGTCCTGGATAATTGGTATTTTTGAAAAACGTATATATGGATTTGTCTTTGTTAACTATATGTACCGTAAAACATTATGACTGCACTCTGGCGTTAATTTTCAAGTTTCATGTACTTCCAAACCTACTAAAAGAGGCTCTGAACAAATTAAAGAAAACGGTTGGATGGTCTAAAGATAGCACACAAAATTACGATTCCCGTAATCGGGGTTCGATTCCCCGTCAAACTTCTGTTTTGCAGCTCTACGTCAAAGTAATTGAAGGTAAAGTTTTTGTTTTGATTTGCGGATACTTAGAAAGGAATCGGAAACTGCCTGCTAATGGTTGCAATTTATTTGACCTTCACCTTCTCCATAATGGAATCCCAGACTCAAGCGCTCTAATGTATAAAATGCAACTAGTCATATATCGACTATCCTTATATTTGTAATAAATTCCTCCTGAACGCTATACGCAAATTCCCCTGCATCAGGGCTTATCTTGTACATGTCCAAAGGCACCTCTCTTATTCTCATATGGTACTCCTTCCAGGCATTCTTGAAGACTATACCTATTTCCTTCTTGCCCGCTAGGTATCCTGATACTAGTATCCATATCTCTTACCTGATCCGAATATTCATCAAAATTTCTCACCGATGTAGGAATAATAACTCTATTTTCTGTGCTCAAGACCCGATAATTTCCACTCATGGCTTCTTCTGCAGTAATATCTCTCGTCCCACCGCTCTCAAGCTGGACAACATGCTTTGGGGTAAGATACTCGGGCTTGACAACAGGTTGCAAAGTGGGCTTAATTTCGTAGGTGTGGATGTCTCGTATTATATGTTCATGGCGGGTTTCACGATGCTGAAGGATAGTACGTTCGTGAATTATGGCTTAAAAACAGAAGAGGTCAGACGTTATATATGTTTCTGAGTTGGGGAAGAACATACGGGAATTGTAGCTGACATGTTTATCTATCGAGTGCGTCACTGAAGGGACATGGGTGTGATATATCTCTGCATCGTGATGATATGCTGGTGGCAACCCAGTGCCAATTGGTGAATGTCGAAAAACGGAGGTAGTAGGGTGAGGCGTCTCTTTACCCTGAATAGTGGACGATTGGGAAAGGGATTCACCTCGCAACTGTGCTGAACCTGAATCTTCCCCCTGAAAATTCTCTCGGCGGTACTGATCTGAGTATTTTCAAAAAATCCAGTTAGCCAGAGTTTTCGTCAAAGGATATACAAGGTTTCACTATCTAACCTAAAGCATGAGGTGACGGTGTTCCCAGCGTATGTCTCCTCTCCCCAAACACGGAATCCTCATATCTTGAAGGATCATCCTCCCATTTCTCCCGGGCTTCCTGCGAAGCATCTGAAGTCAAATGATCGACCATGGCTGCGTATTTTGACCTATGCTCTGGCCCCCCCAAAACAGGACTTTCCTGGATATGCTTTCCCACAGCCGGTAACTCGGGATGATTCAAGTAGTCTGATGGAGTGTGGCTACCTTGTATATAGTCGGTACTACAGCTGCAAGGACAAGTAGATTAGACTATATTCCAGATACTTGTATTGGTACGAGGTCTTGCACTTTCTACTATAGACACTCCCCGAATCGGCAAAAGACTTTGAATATTGGTCAGACTCTTTTCTATTACGAGCTGGGGCAGATTACATACAGATCTTTCTCCTTCCTCTATCGCACTATTTTGGTGAGACGATGAACGGGTAGAGCTACTGAATAACTGCTGCCCTCGGGATCTAAGTCTTCTCAATCTCGCACCTCCCGTGGCCAGTAGTATCTTATCAGAGGAGTGTAATTCCAATCGCGGTGGTTCCGGTAATACGTTTATAGCCTCTGGTGGGAGGTCAGAAAGATCACGGGTACGGTTGTTGTTCTCCTTTCTTTGCTGATCCGCACTGCCTGGTCGTCTGCCTGGTCGCAGAGCGAAATAATCTTCTGTAGACAGCTCAGTATGTTCAGTATGTGTTGAGAGGCTGCTGATGACCACAACATTCACCAATTGATGTAGCGAGTACTTTAGAACCTGGATGCGTTAAACACTCACCAATGTGTGATTCGATTCTCCTAGGTGGACTGGGGCCCAAATCCCCAAGTCGATCTAAATTAGGTTCACGAAGCTCAAGGCTGGGTTCAGCAGATTGTACTGTGCAATAATTATTAGGAGGGTAAAGTGCATCATTTAAGCCTGCTCCTAGAGGCTCTCCGTCACTTGATGGTTGGTAACTTGATGTTCGAGATAAGTTAAGGTGACCTAGAGCAGGGGATGGATGATGGAGTTCGTATGGTTCATTTATACCACCCAGCTGTGGAGGAGGTGTAGGCGCCGGTGAAGGCGTTCGGTTAGTTGGGGGGTTGTATTCTGTGGTAGAGTATGAATCAGATAAATCGGCTTTTTTAGATTTCTTTGAAGAATGATGGAATAGCTGTCGGATACGCTTTCTGATGCCGAATTTGGAAGGCATGATCAGGACGAGTGATCAGAACGGATGTGATTGAAGTTCACAATATAGAACTAAGTACCTTCAGTAACACCACTTGTAGTTCGAGGACCATCATTACATGATGATATCACTGCAACCAGACTATAGGATTCGGAGTGTTGAGTTATATCAAACTAGACTGATATAGGTATATGGCTCAGCAAAATGATGACAACTTTCGTCATGAACTCTAGTTGATATCTAATTCTGCACGCCAATATCAATACTAGAGTATTCCGTTCGGTACGGGTATGTCGAAAGTGGAGTTTCTAGACTTGGGCTTCATCAGCCTAAGGACGGACAGGCAGACTACTAATATAGCGTGCTGAAGGAGAATAGCTGCTTGTAATGAGCTCATTGCCTTGCCTTAGGGGAGGATGGAGGTTCATAAATTCACGAGGAGCCTTCTCATCGAATTCACTCCTCCATAGTCGAAGATCGAAATCAATACCTACCCACGCCGGTTAGCTCGAACACCCAGTCAACATGCAAGCAGCTAAAGAAGCCGTGAGGGATTTCATGTGGGTGATCGTTCCAAAGTTAAATATGAATGAATGTTAATTTTTATATATTATACATATAGCCAACCCTCTCGCTCACCACATGTGCCCTCTGATCGCGAAAATAGAAGGGAGAGTGGCTCTGGAGACCCCAATGCCCGCAATACAGAGAATATCAGAGAGGGTAATGTAAAGAACGTCGGAGAGACGACTACCCCACGTGGTATGAGGGAAACATCCACTCGTATAAGGGAAGGTTCAAATCTTAGAGACACTTACCGGAATGTTCCGGGTGAAGCTGTGAAGGTAATACGTGGCGAGGAGTCGTTTGTGGATCCTCTCATCAGAGCCGAACACAAATCGGATACAGAAGTCCGCGAGATTGTCAATCCGGCCATCACGAAGGAGACCGTCATTGAGGAGAACAGGGAGTTCACCACCACCGCTGTGGACCGGGAGTTACATCAGGATCATTACCAAACGAGGGTGCAGCCCGTAATTGACAGGCAAATTTTACCCGAAGAACATCTGCACAAGCAGGCGCCGGTAGAGTATAAAGAGCACAAGCATCACAAGGGAGACGAAATACGCAGGGCGCTGGAAGAAGAGGTTAGTCTCATTTTATGCAGACATAGGATATGGTTAACCCCGTATTAGCGTTCCCGCTTCAAATCCACACGGGAGGTACTTCCCGCAAAACACATTGTCGAAATTGGTGACACCATTATCGGTGAGCATCATCACCATCATGTGTATGAGACAGTGCAACCAGTGATTGAGCGCGAGATTATTCAGCCTATTATCACTCATACCACCATTCCAATCCACGAACGAATTGAGAAGGATCCTTCGTTCCACCCCAAGACAATCCAGCCAGTGATGACTCTGGAAGAATTCCTTCGCGCAGGTGGAACATTGGAAGGTCGTTCTGAACGCGTTGACTTATTTGAGGGAGAGCCACAGGTAATGGAAAATGGCGGTGCTGATCAGACTCACCCCAATGCATGGGATGCCAGGGGACATCATATTGATATACGAACTGGCACCGATAAGCGGGCTGGTGAAGCTGGAATGGCAAAGAGAGTAACTTCCGGTGAACGCGGAGGGACCACTACGACGACAACCACGAGGAGAATGGAACAACCGATACGTACTACAAGCCCCTTGACGGCGACCGAGAGAGAGCGTGTAATGCAAGGAAACATCAGGACAAGGAGCCCCTTGGCTAGCCCTGGATTGCATACGGCTGGGCGTACGTCTGCTGTCTAAAGTGTCAGTTGGACAGGCCGATCTCCTTGCGTTCGGGGAAGAGTTAGCAGGCGATAAAGGATGGAATGGTTAACCTGAAGTGTTTACGATGTTGTATATTATGTGTATTTGATTCGTTGAGAAATAATACGAAGTTGGCCTATCTTTCCCACTTTCAACTACGCCATCTTATCTGATGCGCATGCTTTTCTTATCGTTACTATACGAGCTTCCTCACTCGATAGATTTCCCATCCCAATCCTGAAGCTAGTTTGGCATTAAACAGACAGCCAGCATAACCTTGAAGTCTCTTGACCTCCTGAGGCGCATGATCTACATCAATAAGTAGTGGGGCACCGGCCTCTTGTAGGTATAAATTGGTAGTAAGCTCCGAAAAGATAAACTTTATTACAATATTCTTGTCCTATCTACCCTTGGATCCATGTTTGGAGTCTCTATGTGTGTTGAATCGTCCCAATACATATATGCAGACTATAGTAATTGACAATGGGAGTTTTTTATGCGGGGGTAAGTTAAGTTGTTACTTCTAATGGCACTACATACATGCCAACTGCCCTATCCCTAACGTGTGCGCCAAGTGTACCTAGTTTGTACGGTAGGTGCATTGCATTTACTTGCCAACCAGGTACATAAGGTACAAAGATGCGAACACGCATTGGAGTGCATTTGGGATCTAGGGCATTTTAACTCGAATATGGAAGTGCGCATGTGCTGACTACGCGTTTTACACAGGAAATTTGTCTGTCACGGATACACGGATCATACATTTGAGCACGTGACAGGAATTCGAACCATGCGCAGAGGTAATTTAAGTGCCCATATGGTCTGACTGCGCGTTTATATTCCGGTAAAGTGCGATGCGATGGTTGTTGCTCCATAATTCCTGAAGAATGCCGTGTATTTTGTGTTCGTTACCTTCCGTCCGCCGTCTGCACTTCCCACAATACGAAAATCGTGGTTGGTTCCACCCTG